ATAAAAGTTAATGAACTGTATGGTTAAAAAGGTATGAATCTCATGAGATGGGTAGTTTGGATTAATTATTTAGAGCTTGTTTGGAACAGATTAAAATCCAATTAAAATTGAAAATATAGTCGTTATTGAGTCACACTCGTCTAATAAAAGTCAACTCCAACGACTATATTTTTAATTTTAATCTGATTTTAATCCCTATCAAACAAGCTCTTAGGTTCAACCCTACAATGTAGGAATTTCTTTAAAACTTTGTCATTCACATATAATTAATTACAAGTTAAATGTACCAAATTTTATTGTTAATAAATTTACTTTTCAATAGGATAGTTGTGAGCGTGTGTTGTCGGGGATGAAAGGTAAAACAACAAATTATTATTGTCCGTTCGGCTTGAGCTTTAATATGGGTTTCAAAGTACTTGTTTGATAGTGATTTTAAGTATTTATATATTGTCGATCTTACGGTATGTGCGTATAATAAGCGAAAAGTAAATTACTGATCCTATGAAATGTATTAATATAAAGTATATTTGACGATCTTAAATAATAAATTAAGCTTTTCAAAACAATTATAAATCGAACCCATCTCTTCTTCTTTCTGTTCTATTAATGGAGGAGGCTAGCTAGAAAAAGGAACCAAAACCTTGATGGGGTATTGTATCAAGAGATTAAATGTAATAATGCTATATCAATCACACCAAAATTGGCTAGATGAAGGCATCACATAGGCTTCAAGATGGATTTTATATATCTAGTTTTATTGTGTATATAGCTTGGACTTATCTATTTGTTTTAACAACCTGATTTAAAAAATTCAGTAGACGTTATCAACTTTTTAATCAATCAAACTTCAATTTTCATCGCACATTTTATGGAATCCACAACTTTATCAACTTTTTGATCATATATTTCATCAATTTTTATCAAAGGCTTCGTTGGACACACAGAACCATACAATCGCCGCCGTCGCCACCACCACCGCTGCCACGGGGAAGTCCTAGTTGAGCGTCCATGTAACAGCCCTCGATGGCATAGTGAACGTCAGCTTCTCCCTAACAGTGCCTGCAGCTGGCAACGCCGGGAATCCGGCATCATGAACCGCTAGCGTCGACTTATCGTTTTTGAAGTGATTTCGTTCAGTTTTTTTCTTTTCCTCACTCATAGCGCAAAGTCTCTAACTGGCAATCAACTTGTTGAACCATGTAGATGCAACTGACCCTCATAAAGCTGATATTGACTCTTCTTTCCACAAATATGCCTTGTTTGGCTCCGCCATTGGATCAGTAATGGGATGTGTGTTCTTGATGCTTTCGATTGTGGATTTCGTTCAGGTGAACCTGGGCATACTTTCTTGTGGAGATGAACCTGTCTATGCCATCGTAACACTGGTTGTATTAGTAGGTTCTGCCTTACTGGTTTATATTACTGCTTCCACAGGGCTGAGCCCGAAAATAATGTTAGGATGGGTTGAAACTTAAAAAATTTCGAATGAACTCATGCCACAAAAAATTGAGTTTCGGAGGCTATTCTCGTGACATTCACGATAAAAAAATATATGGAACTCAATGAAATAAAAAAGTTTAAATGTCTCACATTAAGATATTCCACT